TATATATATATATATATATATATATATATATATATATATATATATATATATATATATATATATATATGCTATTTGACTGATGTGCATGCAGATATATTACCTTTTCCGTTAAATTTTGGACTGGTTTGCTACTTCCAACGCCGTTCTGCCCGGAATCTGTAAATTTGTCATCACCATATTCGTTGCCAAATATATCCTTTACTCTATAGGGGCCTACGTTAAGAGCGGAGAAAAAGAAAGGGCGAAATTATATTTTTGTATGCGGAAAAAGATTTAGAAATTTGTTCATATGCTGTGCTTCGGGTTAGCTGTAGCAACGCTGTAATCGACAGAGCATGCATGCACTTGCCTGATTTCGCAGGTGTAGGCAATTAGTCATTTGCAATAGCGGTTATGGCATTGAAGAAATATAGCAGTCATTCGTTCATATATGTACAAAACTCTTGAGAAATGATGTTGACGCGTCTAAAGATTTTTTTTTGTGAATAGTTTTTTCTACGACCCCATTCTGTACGTTTTCCATGTCCTTTAGATATTTCCCTATTTGTTAATGTTCACTAGTCTTTCCATATTAGTATAATATCAGGGTCTTACTTGCTGTTTTATTGATCCTGTTGAAATGCTTCAATTTGAGCGAGTATCTGCTGCGCAATCGTTCAACATAGTCATATTATCTCTAGTTATGAGATGCGTTCTATTCAATAGTAGCACTCTGTGAATAACTATTGTGAAGCAGTTTTGATGATCATAAAAAGCCATTATGGGAACTGTCACAGTGTTTGATATAGAAATCTGAAATCATCATAAATAGCTCTCAGATGTTTTATTGCACGACATAAATCTTTTACAGTTCACCTTAAAGCTTTTCTAGAACTAGAGTAGAAAGTCACAATCATGTTTGACTTGATGCTTGCTTTGAGTGGATTGGTAAACAAAATTTAGAAGTTTGGGTGCTCCGATACAAAATGATCGTTGGCGCGTTTTCTCAGCGATGTGCTTTGATAGCTTTCGCCCCCTCCCCCCAGCCGAAAACTGCAAAACAGACGCGCGCGAAAATGGTCCCCATACGCGGGCCCACTACCGGATCTCCAAATCTGGACCCATTTTATTAAAGATTACAACTGCATGTGGTGAGTTGTCATAAATATAATAAACACTTGGATACTGGGACGGTCGAGTGGCGCGATTTTTGTCGGCTGTCACTACATGCTCATAACACAACAAGACAACAAGAAGGGAGTTTTGATACATGCTAAATTAGTATATGGACAGCACAAGAGCTCGATATTAATTTTTGCTGGAACCGACAAGCTTCCTAACTTACAGCTAATATTCTTGGCTAGTTCTGTTCAATTATGATTCTGAAACGCAATGAGCAGCTTGTACATTTTTTTTATTGAGAGGTAATACACTATTAAGATAAAAACTCCGCGTAACATAAAGCGCAATGCAGATGTGCCCTTAAGGTATCTCTATACTTCATAAGGATCGGTCGATTATTCGGGCGACCCTTATGACCCTTATAACCGCAATAAGAATCGGCCGATCAAGGGTGCGCGGCGGCTGCGTTGCTGCGCCGCAGTCTAATATCATTTTGCCCGGAATTCCGTACTCATCTTTTCGGCACACTTGCTGACGACTTCTGAGAACTCTAACACAATCTGAAGAAAGAAAGCGAGACAAAGTCGGAAGAGAAGAAGGGAAGGGGCTGGATAGAGTCGATGCGCCAAATCAGTAGTGAACAGGGGGCCGCAGCGCAACCGCCGCACTCCTTCGATTGGCCGATCCTTATGAAGTATGGAGATACCCTATGTGACGACGAAAATCGCGCCACTCGACATGCACTCGGTCACTGGAGCATATAGAGAACTTTTTAGTCTTAATCTTCACTTAAGAGGGTGCGCATCATCCTCCCGTCAAAGGCGTGCCGCCTTTCAGTTCTGCACGTGGCGCCCCGCCCACTCTTCTCCTGCTTATGCCTTAATGTGTGGTTTTCGGAGGGAAGCACGCAGAAGGCGACTGACCGTGACTTATGTTTGCATGTTTTTGAGGCTCCAACCTTCTCCCATTCCTTTTTGAGCCATAAGCAGAGGGTCCTCCCCACATTATGTTTAGGCAGAAAGCGCCGCGGTAGTAGGCAAGGTGCAGCATCACACGCAATGGCGAACCAGTAAGAACAAGTTGTGGGCGCGGCCGCCTACGTGCAGATTCGAAAGGAAGCATCCCTTGAGAAGATGATGAGCCGCCAGGGAACAGGAGAACGTAATGAAATGCAGGGAAAAAGAAAGTTGATTTTTATTTATAGTTGCAGTTCCGGTCATCTCCTATTCAGATCATAAGGACATTTTATGATTCTCTAATTCTTCTCTACCTTAGCATACATGCGATGAGCTTAGTACAGCCAAGTTCACCTGCTAATGTGAACGAAAGAGCCGGTAATGATCGATGGATTGAACAAGTGGAACACGAGGAAACCATAGCTCCAGAGGTAAAGCCGTCAATTTCAAAGTCTTTCCTGTTTTTATGAATTCGTTTCCAGTGATAGAACAGCATGTGTTCATCTTAAATTAAGAATGACATTTGTACAGGCTGTTAATGAAGAGGAAGTGGAGGATTATGTCGAGATTGATGGTATTGTTGATGATCATAGCATGCAGCATAGCGTACTTTTACCAGGAAATACCATAAATCCTGGAACACTCCGTGACGGTAAGTCTTCTTTTTAACCTTCTCTTCCATATTTAATACCTATATTTTTTCCGTTATATGTGTGAGTACGCATATATTTTTACCTCTTGCATCATCAGAATGCCAGTATGATCATCGCTCTTTATCTTCGTACAAGATTATCATTTTTTTTGAATTAAACTTAGTTTGAATGAACTTTAATATTCTATAATTTTCCCTGTTTCACTGTTCTGGACTCTGTTGAACCAAAGTTAATTTGTATCGACTAAAAGTGATAGCAGAATAGCAGTCATAATTTGTTTATACATTCTGAATTCGACGCTTTTTATTTTTTAAATTTGAGCTCAGTCGAAAGGAAACAGTACCAATACATTACAGTTATAGCGTCCATGCTCTTTCTGCCCTTATATCAGTATAACTCTATTTTTCCCAAAACTTATGCCGGCTTCTTGACTGCTAAAGTCTGTGTATCTTGACATGTTTCTATACCAATTGAGCGAACAAATTTGAGGCGCCGAAATATACTGCGCGCATGTTTCGACTTCGAAGAACGATCTGAATTTGAATCTTCCGGATTTGTTGAGTCGGGTTGTTACTTTCACAAATGGTTCAAAGATGTATCTCTGCTTTTCGAAGAGATGTCGTAAGCAGTTGGCATTTGACGGTCACCTATACAATATTGATGGATTCGTATGTTCTCCTTCAACTTTCTTATTTTCAACTTGATGTGCTCGTAAAGTCTTGCTCATTTTTTTGTTGAAGTTTTTGGACCAGTAAAATTCTCTTCTAGGTAAAACCAGGGAACTGGAATTTCTGGAGGTGTGCGAACCCTGCTTGCAAAGGCGCTATAAAAACGTCACCCAGTATAACCGAAGTGCGTGTACGTGAATCTCACAACAGCACTTGCAATTCTGAGGACTTGCAGGTTTCTACGTTATCTTGATTCTTCGCTCTACTATTTACGCTCGCTCCATCTCTTGTTACATCTCTTTTTTGTTATTATGCTTAATGTTAAATTTTATACGTAGATCTTTCGTGTAGTCCAATTTTGAAAAGGTAAAATTTGCAGATTAGATTACGTATCACCATCTATGACCTTCGCTTAATGGCCGAGTTCACTGATGTGCCGCTTGATGCGCTGTACCATGCCTACTGTGCGTGTTTCCCATTATTTTTTTT